GAAGTACTCTGGAATTAGTAGGTATGGGTAAGAACTTTCTCAACGAAACCCCAGCAGCACAGCAACTAAGAGATAGCATAGATAAATGGGACCTCATAAAACTAAAAAGCTTCTGTTCATCAAAAGAAATGGTCTCTAAACTGAAGAGAACACCCACAGAGTGGGAGAAAATATTTGCCAGCTACACATCAGACAAAGGACTGATAACCAGAATATATAGGGAACTTAAAAAACTAAATTCTCCCAAAACTTATGAACCAATAAAGAAATGGGCAAGTGAACTAAACAGAACTTTCTCAAAAGAAGAAATTCAAATGGCCAAAAAACACATGAAAATATGCTCACCATCTCTAGCAATAAAGGAAATGCAAATTAAAACCACGCTAAGATTCCACCTCAGCCCTGTTAGAATAGCCATCATCAGCAACACCACTAACAACAGGTGTTGGCGAGGATGCAGGAAAAAGGAACCCTCTTACACTGTTGGTGGGAATGTAGACTAGTACAACCACTCTGGAAAAAAATTTGGAGGCTACTTAAAAAGCTAGACATTGATCTACCATTTGATCCAGCAATACCACTCTTGGGGATATACCCAAAAGACTGTGACACAGGTTACTCCAGAGGCACCTACACACCCATGTTTATTGCAGCACTATTCACAATAGCCAAGTTATGGAAACAACCAAGATGCCCCACCACTGACGAATGGATTAAGAAAATGTGGTATCTATACACAATGGAATTTTATGCAGCCATGAAGAAGAACGAAATGTTATCATTCGCTGGTAAATGAATGGAATTGGAGAACATCATTCTGAGTGAGGTTAGCCTGGCCCAAAAGACCAAAAATCATGTTCTCCCTCATATGTGGACATTAGATCAAGGGCAAACACAACAAGGGGATTGGAATATGAGCACATGATAAAAGCGAGAGCACACAAGGGAGGGGTGAGTATAGGTAAGACACCTAAAAAACTAGCTAGCATTTGTTGCCCTTAACGCAGAGAAACTAAAGCAGATACCTTAAAGCAACTGAGGCCAATAGGAAAAGGGGACCAGGAACTAGAGAAAAGGTGAGATCAAAAAGAATTAACCTAGAAGGTAACACACACGCACAGGAAATCAATGTGAGTCAACTCCCTGTATAGCTGTCCTTATCTCAACCAGCAAAAACCCTTGTTCCTTCCCATTATTGCTTATACTCTCTCTTCAACAAAATTAGAAATAAGGGCAAAATAGTTTCTGCTGGGTATTGAGGGGGTGAGGGGGAGCGGTGAGCGGTAGGGGGCAGGGTGGGTGGTAAGGGAGGGGGTGGGGGCATGGGGGAGAAATGACCCAAGCCTTGTATGCACATAGGAATAATAAAATTAAAACAAAAACAAAAACAAAAACAAAAAAAACCACAGGCTGTTGACTCTTGATTCCTGTTGTCTAGATGACCCCACAGATAGCAGAGGCTGTGAAACACCCTTTCCCCAGCGGTGGAAAAGTCCACCTCTACCTACTCTAAGAACTTGATCTTTGAGTTTACAGACTCCGGGCTCTGTGAGGATGTTCTCCTTTCTCTTCCCCGGCAGTCTCCAGTGTGCAGTACCAAATGTATATCGCCTTGTTCTTGCTGATTTCATTCTCAGATTGATAAAAAGCACCCAGATATATTTATCTTTTAATTACAAAGTGTTTCAAGTATTCTGCAAAGTCTCCTCTGAGGATATGCAAAAGGAAGTGAATAGTGATCCGGCAAGGGTTCCAAAGGAAGTATGTGACAGAGACCAAGTTGCAAATTGCCCCTGGACAGTCAGTGGGCGTCCAGGAGGCGAGATTAGTCTAGTTAACCCCTTGCTACTAGTGAAAGTGTTTGACACTTCACCAGGTCTATTTTCTCTAAATAGCAAGAAATTTAAGAAAGGAAAACCAGATTTCAGACTTGAGACTTTTGGAACCATATATAGAAATACTCAAGCCTCATTCTCTTTTTTCTATTTGCCAATTTGCCCTCTTGTTCAAGTTGCTTTGCAGTAATTTGTAAAAGTTGACTTGCTTTCAGTTCTTTTGTATTTTACCCAGAAGTGGAATTGCTGGATCCCATGGGAATTTTACTTGTTTTTTTGAGAAGCCGCCATACTGTTTTCAGCAGCTGTACCATTTTACATTCCCACCTGCAGGGCACAAGAGTTCCAGTTTCCACGTCCTCACCACCATTATTTTCTGTATTTTTCACGATGGCATCCTAACGGGCACGGGGTGGTATCTCAGTGTAGTTTTGATTAGCATTTCCCTAATGGGTAGTGATGCTGCATCCTTTCCTGTGTGAATCATCATTACTTTTCTGACTTATTTGCAGAAATGTCTGTTCAAATCCTTCGCCCATTTAAAAAACTGGGTTATTCGCCTTTTGTTACTGAGTTGTGGGAGCCACACTAAAATGGTTCAAACTTAAAGTTTGCCAACACCAGATGTTGATGACGCTGTATAAACTGGAATGCTCCTACATCACTGATGAGAGGAGAAAGTAGTACAACCATTTTGGAAAAATGTCTGGCAGTTTCTTGTAAATATCCATCAACCTATAACCTAGTGTTTCCACTCCCAGGGTAAGGAATTTACCCACAAGAAATCAAAGTCCATGTTCACAAAAAGACTCATATAAGAATATAGTCCCCAACTAGAAACAACCAAATATCCATCCATAGGAGAAGATACAAAAATAATTGTGGTATTTTATACAATGGGGTATTTCTCAGTAATAAAAAAGGAAGTTATTGATATGTTCAACAGTGTAGATGAATATCAGAGCAATTTTTCTGGGTTCATCAGAGAAGCAAAAGAACACCTGCTATCTGGGCCCGTTTTATGAAGTTGAAGAGCAAATATGGCTGGTGCCATGAGGCCCTGAGTTCAAACTCCAGTACCACCAAAAAAACCCAAACCAAACCAAACCAAAAAAAAAGAGCGAATCTAATCTGTGCCATGTGAGAGTTGACTAAACGGCACAGAGAGAACTTTCAGGAGTGATGGAAGTGCTCTGTATGTTTATTTTGGTGATGGTTACACTGTTGGATCCCCTTATCAAAATGTATCAAATTGTATAATTTGAAAGCAGTACATTTCACTACATGTAAATTTTACCTCAATTTTGAAAAACTGACTTATATTTTTTATATTTTCCTGTGAGTCTGTAATTATTTCAAAATAATACATTTTTAAAAGTACACTGATTTCCATTTGTTGAAAAAAAATTTTTTTTGGCTATACTGTTATTTGAACTGTCATTGAGCTACACTTCCAACCCTTTGTGCTCTGGTTATTTTGAATATAGGGTCTCACTGTTTGCCCAACCTGGCCTGGACTATGATCCTCCTGTTTAGGCTTCCTGAAGTAGCTGGGGTGACAGGCATGTGCCACTGTGCCCAGAGGCAATGGGGTCTCATGAACTTTTTTTGCCCAGCCTGGCCTGAAACTGCCATCTTCTCTATCTCAACCATCTATGTAGCTAGGATTACAGCCTTGAGCCACCAGCACCCAGCTGTTGAAATTTCTTGAGGCCTACTTTATGGTCTGTATGTGTCTAATTCCTTCCTTCCTCCCTCCCTCCCTCCCTCCGTCCCTTCCTTCCTTTCTTCCTCCCTTCCTCCCTCGTTTCCTTCTGTCTGACTTTTTTGGTCTTTTTCATATAGAATTTCACACTTGTTACCTGGGCTGACCTCAGACTGCAATCCTCCTACCTATGCCTCCTACATGTCTAGGATTACAGGTGTAAGCCTCTGCACCTGGCTGTGTGGCCAGTTTCTCTTTAAAAAAATTTTTTATTATTATTTTATTCTCCCTCATATGCAGACATTAGATCAAGGGCAAACACAACAAGGGGATTGGACTTTGAGCACATGATAAAAGCGAGAGCACACAAGGAAGGGGTGAGGATAGGTAAGACACCTAAAAAACTAGCTAGCATTTGTTGCCCTCAATGCAGAGAAACTAAAGCAGATACCTTAAAAGCAACTGAGGCCAATAGGAGAAGGGGACCAGGAACTAGAGAAAAGGTTAGATCAAAAAGAATTAACCTAGAAGGTAACACACATGCACAGGAAATTAATGTGAGTCAACTCCCTGTATAGCTATCCTTATCTCAACCAGCAAAAACCCTTGTTCCTTCCTATTATTGCCTATACTCTCTCTACAACAAAATTAGAAATAAGGGCAAAATAGTTTCTGCTGGGTATTGGGGGGGGGAGAGGGAAGGGGCAGAGTGGGTGGTAAGGGAGGGGGTGGGGGCAGGGGGGAGAAATGAACCAAGCCTTGTATGCACATATGAATAAGAAAACAATAAAAATTTAAAAAAATAAAATAAATTTTTATTAGCATAAATTAATTGGACAAAGGGATTTCATTGTGATATTTACATACATGCATATAAATTACTTTGATCGAATTCATTCCACCTGTATTATTATTTCTTAGCCCCCACCTTTTAACAGTTTTTAATGGGTTTCATTATGCTATTTTTATATGTACATATAATGTTCTTCTATCATATTCACCTCCTGTTATCCTCTCCTTTCCCCTTCCTTCTTCTGCTGCCACCCCCAAAGTCTTCCCTTTATAAATGTGTGTGACTAATTTCTATCAATGTCCATGTATACCTTAGAAGAATATGTGGTCATTTTTGTTGGGTAGAGAATTGCTATACAGTGACTCAGGTTGAATTTAATTGTGCTGTTCTAACGTTCTGTGAGAACACAGAGGTCTCAGTATTGTAGATGGTTTTCTTTTCGTCCCCTCAGAAGTGGGAACAGTTTATGATAAATGCTTTTAAAGCCCTAAAGTGAAACTGATGATAAACAATGGAAACTTAATATTACTTAAACCTAATTGGAAGTCTTAGCAAAACAAAACCCCAACTCTTTTACACTGAGTTTTGTCAAGGAACAGAAAACAGATTTATTTAAAAGGCTTCAAAGGCATAAAATGTTCTTGGCGTTTTGTTTTTTTCTCAACAGTTCACGAGAGCAGTGATTTCCAGGCTTTCTTAGCAATGTGCCACTTCCCCTGACGTACTTACCAGACAGTGAATTTTCCATTTTTTACAAGAAGAAAATTTTGGTGACAAATTATCCAATAACAAAAGGACTTGTGTCTACTAAGATCGGTAAGTCGCCTGTGTAGAGGGTGGGGTGGGAAGTCACTTATAGAGAAAGTACAAAGAATATTTCCTTTCTTGTGAGTGGGATTTTGTAAGTAGATGATATATATTCACTAAATATCAAGTTAAGTGATCCTTGTCACTGAGCATCTTCTAGTTTTAGATTTCATCCCTAGCCCTTCTGCTCAGCAGCTGAGTAAACTTGGACAGGTCACTTATTTTCACTGAGCCCCAGTTCTTTTGTTTATAAAAGAAAATTTCATAAGAAAAGACTTTGTAAGTGAGAGGGATATGTAATCTAAAAATATTATCATTGTTTATTGTTTTGTTGATATCACAAAATTCCATGGAATAGTTAGTGGCTTTTTGTCTTATGGTGATGGGGCTCATAGAGCTTGGTACTGAGTTTCAGTACTCAGTGCTTATCTTCTGAGTGCTGGAAAAGGAGGCTTTCCCACCTGCCTCCCTGCTTCCATCCTCCTGGCTGTTTATGGAAGTTGTATGAAGGATGGAAGTTAAATGGAAGATCAAAGGAAATAACAGCTGAGGGTATTTATTTATATGGTGAGCATTGTATTAAGTGTTTGAACACATGACTTTACTTAGTCCTCACATCAACTTTTGTAAGGGGGCCACTATGACTACCATGACTTTTCTCCTCAGCTTGACCCCTTGGGGAGCTACTTAAAAGAAAAGACCAATCACTTTTTTTCTTTTTTTGGTGGTACTGGGGTTTGTATTCAGAGCCTCACACTTGCTAGGCAGGTGCTCTACCACTTGAGCCACTCTACCAGCCCACAAGCAGCCACTCTTGTTTATTTAAAGTTGAGAGGTTTTATTGCATGGTGGGAATTTGAAGTTTTAAATTGTTTGTAATTTTTTCAGTGTACGTCTATAGCCTCGTAATAAGGCAGTTGTTTAAAAATAAATGACGGATTTTTAAAAATTCCTTTTGAGCACGTGCAGTGAGCTAAATATTGTTTTAGAAGCTTGTTCTCATCAGTAACCTGCCCTCATGGAGCATTTGTCTTAGCATGGAGGGAGACGCCATAAATTATGCACATAATAGGTGTGTTTCTAGGATACTAGAGTCTAGTGAGGACATGGAAAAATGAGTGAGGAGCAGGGTAAGGGGGCAGGGAGTATGAAGGGGGGCAAATGATCCAAATTGCAGTGTTTGGGTTTCTAGCGGAGGGTTCACAGAGGAAGACAGGAAGTCAGAAATTGCCCTGGGCACTTTCCAGGCAGAGGAAGCAGCTGATGTGAAGGCCCTGAGGAGGGGACGAAGCTGGAGTTCCAGGCACAGCCAAGAGCCAATGTGCTGGAACAGACTGAGTGGGAAGGAGGGTGGTGGGAGGTGAGTTTGGAGAGAGACAGTGTCTGGTACAGAGGAAATAATGACATTTCTGTAGTTTAGACACTGTCTTAGTCCAGTTTCTGCTTCTATAACAGAGTACCTGAGACTGAGTAACATAAAGAAGAGGTGTATTTGGCTCATGGTTCTGGAGGCTGGGAAATCCAAGGGCATGGGACTTTGGTATCCTTCGTGGCATGTCATCCAATGGCAGAAGGAGGTAGGGCCATAGAGGGGAAGAGTGAAAAGCAAGAAAGGGCCAAACTCACTGTGACAACACACCCACTCTTGTGGTAACTAATCTAATGCCACGATGAAGACCCTAATGCATTCTTGAGGCAAGAGCCTTCATAACCAGTCACCTCTCTCTAGGCCCCACCTCCCAACACTGCTGCATTCAGGATTAAATTTCCAACAGGTGAACTTGGGGGATGCATTTAAACCATAGCAGGTACATAGAAAAATTTCCTTCTTTTCTTCTTATCTATTTGCTTCATTCTAAGTGTTTTTCCCTGCAGTTAAAATACCCACATGATAAATAAATTAGACTTCCATTGCCTTAGGTTCCTAGGATTTCCATAACAAGGTACCAGATACTGGGTGACTTAAAACAACAAAGTTACTGTTTCAGAGTTCTGTAGGCTAGAAATTCAAAATCAAGTTAGGGCCACACTCCCTTCTCAGACTTGTAGGGCAAACCTCTCCTCACCTTTTCATTGCCTCTGGTGATTCTTGACAATCCTTGCTGTCCCTCAGCTTGCAGCTGCATCATTCCAGTCTCTGCTTTTGTTGTCACATGGCACACCTGTTGTGCATCTGTGTCTACAGATGGTCGTCTTCCTTTTCCTTGTAAATACACCAGATATACTGGATTAAGAGCCCACCCACTCCAGTATGACCTAAACTAAGTACATCTGCAATGACCCTGTTTTCAAACAGGGTGACTTTCTGTGGTATAGGGGTCAGAACCTCAACTTTTCTTTTGGGGGGGGTCACAATTCAACCCATCACAAACCACCTTAAATAATAAACAGTAAATCTCACTGCTTCCATTTTACGAGGGAGGAACCAACTCAAAAAGCTCAAATGACTTGCAGAAAGAGTCAGTAATCAAAAGAGCCAGATGGTGATTTCACTGTGCTGATGATGGTAAGATGGAGGTGACAGGGACCTACGCTGGCCCACAGCAGGACTTACATGCATACAGCATTGTAGTCCAATGTTGTGAAACCCAAAACAGCTCAAAATTGATGCTTCACTTCTGTGAAATGGGTGCCCCAGCCATCATAACCCACTCCCCACTTGGCATTCCATCTCGTAGTGTCACAAACACAGAAACAGATGCTTTTCCCTCTTTTAAGACTTTTTTCCAGGAAATAACACTGCAGTTTCTGTGGCATGTGGAAAATTTATGACAGTAACACATGTTTTTTTTTCTCACACAACAAAGGAAAAATTATATATGCACATGCATATATTTATGGATACACACATGCGCGTTGCTCTCTGAGTGGGTTGGCTAATTACAATAGAATTAGGGGATTTTGGAAAGCATTTAATATATTTTGGGTTTCATTGTGTTTAAAAATGCCACCAAAACATGAAGCTTGTCTGGCCATTTGTGAGTGTGACTCAACGCTAGAACAATACTGTAGGCATACTCTTGAGGAATGCACCTGAAAACTGGAGGGTTATCCCAAAACAGAACTCAACACTTTTCTGTGCCTGTGAGAGCACACAGTGAAGAGTGACATCTCTGGGCTGGGCTGAATGTAGATGAAGCCACCACAGGCAATCATGCTAGGAGTGTGTAAATCTTGGTCCAGGAACACAGATGATGAAAGCTGCAGTGTTCAGTCTGGGAGGTGAGACAGAGCCATGGCAGGGGGAAAACAGAAGGTCAAAACAGAAAGTGGAGATACACTGAGAGGCAGAGAGCAGAGAGCGAGGCAAGTGGAGGATGCAGGAGCCTTTGGGTGAGGGTGTGATGGGCCTGTTTGTCTTCAGCTGGCTGCACCATGTGGGATGGAAGGGAATGCACTGGGTGACACCAGGCAGCTCCCACCAGCCTTCCCCAAGTGTGGATTTGGCCATCTCTCTGGTGGCCTCATGTTGTAGTTGCCTTCCAAGGTGCTTCCTTGTTCGCTTCTGTTCTGAATGTGTTTTTAGCCTCTCTAAGCTTCTGGGCTACTCCCTGTTTCTCCGTCCCCTGGCAACCATCAATCTGCCTTGTGTCTCTTTGGATTTACTTAGTCTAGGTATTTCATACAAGTAGAACCATGTCATATGTGACCTTGTGTCTGGTAAAACACTTAATTTTAATTATAAATCACTCACCGTTTTTTCAATATTCTCTTATCATTATGTGGGAAAGTTGGGGTGCCATAGGTAGGATCCCATCTTTCTTATTGGATTCTCCAAGAAGAAAACCCCTTTAGGAACACCTGCTTCCCTTTAATTACTTCATATGACAAAATTAAACTCTCTTTTTTTTTGAGGTGCTGGGGTTTGAATTCAGGGGCTCCCTCTTGCTAGTCAAGCACTCTACTACTTGAATCACCCCACCAGCCCTTAAATTTATTTTTATTATTTTTTTGGTGGTATGAGATTTGAACTCAGGGCCTCACACTTGCTTGGCAGGGCTGCACCACTTGAGCCACGCCTTCCCCACCCCCCAGCCACCATTTGGAATTAGGTTACTTAATCTGCAACGATGCAGAGAATTTGACTTTAACTTATTTCTCTTCCACCATGGAGCTTAATCCTCACGAGCCCTTTTGCCCCCCACTCCCCAGCTCCTGTATTGTTCTAGTGGTCTGAGCTTCCAGTTTATTCCACCATCCAGATGAACCTGTAATTGATATTTTGGCATCAGGATAGCTAGAGATTATATTGCTGGCGTAAGCAACAAAGCTTAGTCTCTCCTGAGGGAGTTAGATGACACCAGCTGTTGAAGATGAAAATTTGAGGAATACTTTACACTGTCATCTCTGGGGGCCAATGCCAGTCCCTCCTCCCTTTGCTCCTTGGGAGAACAGCAGCCGCTCAAAAAGGGTCTGGGAGGCAGACAACAGAGGCTTGAAATATGAGTCCTACCCCCATCTGCCCGACGTAACATAAGACAGTGGCACAGATGAAGCTGGCAGAGAGGTGGGAAACCTGATGTCCAACAAGGCTCTGAGGGGACCAAAATTCTCATCAAATCCTTTTGCGGTAGCAAAACAGCCTGCTGGTCTCATACTGCAGAACCAAAGAATTGGGTTGGGGTAGGGCTGGGAGCTCATTGAGGCCCCCTTGTTCTCTTTTCTGTAGGCCCCCTGGGATGGGAGTGCTGTTAGCATGTGCCATGGGACCACAGTTAAATAAAGAGGGATATTGTCTTGTCTCCCCCAGAGTGTGGTTGTTATGTACTGTATTGTGCACGAATCTTCTGCTTTCTGCTCCAAAAGGTCACCTCCAGGAGACTTAAAACACCACCTTGAGAATAACTAATGACTTTGACAACAAACAGCAGAGTTGTGGGCATGGGGTGGCATTTGGTAATTCCCCTCCCTCTCCTTCCTCACTGCCTCCTTCCTGCATCTCTCCCTCTTTCTATTAGCCTGCATGGAACTTCTGTGTAGCAGACATTGTGCTAAGGCCATGGAGCTGA